GCACCCCTAACAGATTTATGTTGGCAAAAATTCACTTTGTGAAAGATATAATCAGGGAGTGGAGGATGGTTGAACACAAGAAAGAATCGAAATATACTATTTCAACTGAAGCAAAAGGTGGACGAAATGGAGAAAATCGTTGAATCTTAGGTGCTTACAGACTCTAAACGCAGGTCAAGAAGAGATGATTGCCTTAATTGAAACATCCCAAAAATAAAGGTTAAAAAAATCATTTTTATTATATTCAAAACACCATTGTAACTTTGTCTAAACATTGAAAAAGCATTTAAATAAAAACTTTTAGTAGAGTTCATTCCCAAAGATCACATATTGCGGAAAACACAGGTGTATGTGCTGCGATCGTCCCGAGCTCTTTCATTTGAAAACTGGAGTACCTGAAACATAAACTGAAAACCGTAAGCACAAAGCTTAGTAAGTTCCCCAAATACCACATACCATCCAATAAGCATATAGTAAACATATAGTGGGCCCCACCGACTTCGGACACCGTCTGGCATCGAGCTGAGCTCGGTAAAACGGGCCTCGCCCAACATAGAATAACATATATCAAAATAAACACATACACATGCAATAATCACAAAGATACATATCATACATGTATCCATCGAGCCTTAGCCCGGAAGACATATAACACAAGTACATGTAGGAGTCACAAAGACAACTAGCATACCTACAACATAACATAATCATGGGTCGGCCTTGGTGCCTTCGACCCGCTAAACCCGGTAAGGAAACTCACCTCGAATGCAGAAGCTTCCTGAAAGAATTCCCTAGCTGTTGCCCTAACGACACCTCCGAACTATCATATCACAATAACACCCAATAAACAATTGGATTCCATTCCAAGGCATACTAACCATACTTGGGGTAAAATGACCATTTTACCCCTGACCCAAACAAGAACCAAACTGAGGCCTAACCTCAATAACCAAGAAGGCCCAAAACCAAAAGATCCACAAAGGCCCATTAATGGCCTAATTTTTCCAAGTTGGGCCCAATCCCATATGGGACTTATCCTAAGCCCATATTTTCCTTAAATACAAATCAGATTACCACAACACCCCTTGGGACAAACTAGGTTAAAGACATAAGTCAAAAGTCAAAGTCAACGACCTGAGTTGACCCAACTCGCCGAGTTTATCCTTCAACTCGTCGAGTTCCTCTAACAACCGCAAAGTCGGGAAGAAACCGGTCCAACTTGCCGAGTTGTCTAATCAACTTGCCAAGTTGACCCACACCAACTCAGAATTGGGAAAAACCAAAACAACTCACCGAGTTGACCATCCAACTCGTCGAGTTCACTCGAGACCAAATAGCTTAATCCATTAAGCCGACATAATCGAAACTAACAACTTCTTCCACTCATATCTTAACTAAAATGGCCTTAAGAAGGGTAAAGTTTCCAACTTTACCCCTAAGAACCACCAAAATGGGTTCAAAACCCAAACCCTAAACTTAAAAGGGTAAGGACTTAATCATTAAGCACTTATTCCACAAGGACACAACTCCAAGATATAGATCTGACCATAAGAGGCTAGATGGCCATGTAAAGTTTCCAACTTTACACTTATTCATGATTAGAAGAAGATCAAAAGCTTAAAAGAGACCAAAAGAAGGACTTAATGAATGCATGAAGCCCCTAGGTGTAACATCCCGACTCCCATGTACAAATTTAAATTGTTTTATATTCATTTTGGTAGGGCAACTCGACAAGTTGGAGGCCCCAACTCGTCGAGTAGAGATTGAGATAGCCGTGTGATTTTTAGAGTCAACTCGACTAGTTGGAGGATCCAACTCGACGAGTAGGAGCTGAGCATGAAAACCCTAATTTTCAGGGTTTACACCCTATTTAAAGGACCTTAAGTCTTTTACCCTGCCTCCCTCACCACCTTAACACCCTGAGAGAAACCCTAATCGAGTTATTATCATTTGTAAGAGAGAGAGAGAGATAGAGACTAGGAGTGTGTGTTTTAGTGCATTCTTTGAAGGGGCTTGAGGAGCAAAAGGCTTGGAACGAGAAGGAGTCCTTGGATCCAACATTCTTTCAGTGTTAGCTGCCATTTGGAGGTAAAAAGCTATTACCTTGACCACTTGTTTGTTAGATCTCTCTATTAGGGAGTTTATGACCATTTCTACCTTTTTTGAGTCATTTAGTTGTTTGAGCATGCCTTGGAGATGATGCTTCATATCTGGACAATATTCGGTCCCTTAGGCCTAAAGATGCAAGCTTTATTAAGCTTTGGCCAACTTCCATGCCTTGAACCCTTTTTTGAGCTTTGGTTTGGCAAACTTAGCCCTAGATGCCATGCATGGACGTAAAGCTTGCGGCTTTACGTGGTATTTCAGCCTTAGAAGGCTAGATCTAGAGTTTGGGGCCTGAGTCTTGATTAAAGACGTCTGAATGAGAGAATGGCTTGTAGGAAATCGACGAGTTGGTGAGCCAATTCAACGACTTGGTTAGTGTTTTCCCCGATAGTTTGGACGCGTTACGAAATCGGCGAGTTGGTGAGACAACTTGGCGAGTTGAGTTGGATTTTCCCGATTTTTCAGAGAAACGAAGGAACTCGATGAGTCGCATAGATGCACTCGACGAGTTGGGTCAACATGGACTGTTGACTCGAGTGTTGAATTTCGTTGACTTTTAGGGTTGGGTCAAGTTACGGATTTTGGAGACCATGGAGGGGTAAAATGGTCTTTCACCCTTTCCGAGAAAAAGGAGTTAGCTTAACATCTTGGAGTTGTTATTATAAATTGTTAATTAGAGATGATTATGATATATGTAGGCGGAGTCTAGACCTATCGTTGAGTACGAGACATTCTTGTTCCACCTACGAGGTGAGTCTTCTCACTATACTTACCTGAGTGGTAATATTGTGTGACCGGAGGGTCTTCTTTGAGTTATCGACCGGAGGGTCTTATGTGCTTATACCGAGTTATGTGATATCATGCATTTTGTCTTTGTGATTTATGATGTATATTATTTCTGTGCCTTATTGAGTTAGGACCGGAGGGTCCAAACCGAGTTGAGACCGGAGGGTCTTCACTGAGATACTGGACTGGAGGGTCCGAACCGAGTTGTGAGACCGGAGGGTCTTCACTGAGACACATGGCCGGAGGGTCCTTATCGAGATATAGCAATGAGAGGCTAATTATTTATGCATGGTATTTTGGGGAACTCACTAAGCTTCGCGCTTACAGTGTTGTGTGAAATGTGTTTCAGGTAGCTCTCAAGATCGCGGGAAGGCGTCGGCATGATTGTACACACCATCTAGAGATACTGTTTTAAGAATTCTGGGATATTGTCAAACATTTTGTTATCTTGTGTTTTGAACAACTTATAAATTTGGGTTTGAGAAATGTGAAAATGTGTTTTGTGCGGTTTTAAAAATGAAAATTTTATTTGAAAATTTAGAGTGTTACACTAGGACCATAAATTTGGCACCTTTATGCCAAAAGAGCTCATGAAGATCATAGACCTGGAAAGGATAAACACTTGGGATTTCTACTTCCTCAACAATCACCCAACCATGGCTAAAAGCATACAAATAAACCCAAGAATAGATCTAAGCCAATACTAAGCAAGGTTAGAACTTTATACCCGAAATGTGTTGGAAATGGAGCAGGGAACCAAGATCTGAAAGCTCCTACTTTAACCACCACTTTGCACCAAGCTTCTCTTCCTTCAATGAGCCTTAAGCACACCCACAATGAGCTCACAACACTCAAGGAGGCTCTAGGGTTTCGCGATTAGGGTTAGGGGCTATGGAGGCTGCAAATGAGGCCAACACCTGGAACTTAAGGTGTTTAAATAGGGTGCAAAACCCCCAAAATTAGGGTTTCTAGATTAGACTTTGTGTTGCTTGATTTATAGGCTAGGTTCATGAATCTCATAGAGTGGTTATTCTGCAACCTTGACGTACCTTGTCTACAAGCTCCCTAAAGTCATCATCTTGAAAATACTCTTGATTTCTAGCTTAATTTTTGTGTTGTTTGATTCACAAGCTAGGTTACTCCTTTCTGATTCTTTATGTAATCATGTTATTTTGGTTATTGAATCAAATTTATGGGGTTTTTTGTTTGTTGTCTGTGTTTCTTTTAGTTATGAAATCATTTTTGGGTTTCTTCGTTTATTTACTCTTCAAAATCAAATTTAATGCAATTTTTGGGTTTTTGAGTTTGTAGAAAATTTGGGTTTATTTGTTGAAAACGTACCGAAGTCTTTAGATTTTGTTGATGGTGATGGATGACAATGGGTGGTTGTGATGAACAATGATGGTGGTGTTGGGAGGTGGGTTAGATGGAGATGAATGGTTATTGCGACGGTGGGAGTTGGTTCCCAAATAATAAAGGCAACCTGACTTGGATTAACAACATGGATTAAAAAAAACAAACTAATAATTAATGGCACATCAATATTATTACAAATAACTTATAAATTCGAGTAAAATGACTTAACTGACATGTTATAAATAGGGATGAACATTTGTTCCAGGGAACCGGCCTGAACCGGTACCGAAATCGGAACCGGTACCGGATAGAACCGATAGGGCCGGGACCGGGACGATATTCTTGTGGATTTTTCGAACCGGGAACCGGTAGGAACCGGAACCGACAAAAACCGAAACCATAACCGAAATATTTCTTAAAATATGTTGTTTTTTCTCGAGGATCGGTTCCAACATTGAAATGCCGACAAGAACCGGTAGGAATCGGAACCGGTAGATCCGACGGTCCGGTTCAGTTCCGATTTTTCACCAAGTTCGGTTCCCGAACCGGTTCCGGTCAGCCAGTTCCGATGCTCATCTAGTTATAAATGAGTTCAATAGCATGATAGCTAAGCAAGATCATTTCAAAGAAAAAAAATAATGACAAAATTAGGAAAACAACAAAGTATTTTTCTTTTTATCAATTTTCAAATCAATCAAAAAATGTTACATTTTCTTTATAAAAACACGTTTTAGTCAATTCTGAGTCAAAGTATCAAAAATCTCACAATCATCGGCTTCTTCACATCAAGGTCTTGCGCTACCTAGGGTTTCCTCTGTCTGTACTCTGTAGCAAAAAATGAAGCTCGCATGGCTCAGGTCTCTCGAAACCTCTCATCAAGACTGCGTTTGGGCTTGTACATGGGTCCCTGCCACCGATAAAAGCCCTGGCCTCCTCCTCACCGGATCCCTCGACGAGACCGTGAAGCTATGGAATCCGGAGGACCTCTCCCTTGTCCGTACCAACACCGGACACTGCCTCGGCGTTGTCTCCGTCGCCGCTCATCCTTCTGGCAAAATCGCCGCCTCCGCTTCCATGGATAGCTTCGTCCGTGTGTTTGATGTTGAATCTAACAACACTATTGCTACTCTCGAAGCTCCTCCTTCTGAAGTCTGGCAAATGCAATTCGATCCTAGGGTAAATCTATACCTATATTACTTTATAGAAATCGGATCCGTTTATTGATTGCTTCGTGATTCCTTTATCGGATACATATTTGGAATATGTATATGTTTATCCTTTTGATTTAAAGCTACACCTTTGAAAACTTCCATTGTTCATAGAACAACCCTAGATCATAATTCATAAAAAAACTGCTGATTCTGTGTTTGACAGGGTACAACTCTTGCTGTTGCTGGAGGCAGCAGTGCGTCAGTGAAACTATGGGACACTGCAGAATGGAAACTCGTAGCAACATTATCAATCCCACGTCCTGAAGGATCAAAGCCCTCTGATAAAGGCAACAACAAGAAGTTCGTTCTCTCAGTTGCATGGAGCCCTAATGGAAGACAACTAGCATGTGGATCAATGGATGGATCCATTTCTGTATTCGATGTTCAAAGAGCCAAGTTTCTTCACCATCTCGATGGCCACACAATGCCTGTTCGTTCTCTTGCATATTCACCATTAGACCCAAGAGTTCTTGTTTCAGGATCAGATGATGAACGTATTCATATGTATGATGCAGAAGGAAAGACTTTGTTTTCATCAATGTCAGGTCATTCTAGTTGGGTGTTGAGTGTTGATGTGAGCCCAGATGGTGCAGCCATTGCATCAGGGTCAAGTGATCGAACCGTGAAGCTGTGGGACCCGAAAATGAGGGCTGCGGTTCAGACCATGACTAACCATACAGACCAGGTTTGGGGGGTGAAGTTTGAAGGTGGGGGAGGTGGTGTTAGAGGGTGTCTTCTTGCAAGTGTATCAGATGATAAAAGCATATCTCTTTACAACTATTCTTGACTTTCTTTGACTTTTTTTTTTTCCATTTGTTTTGCTTTTTGTTTGTTAATTGTACTTTCTTTTTCATTGTAACATGGAACATATATTGAAGACTTAATTGGTGTTGTTGCAGGTTTGATCAGAATCAGTATTATATTTATAGCAGAATCTTTGATCTTGATGAGTAAATCATGGTAAATTGCTGCTATAGTTTGGTAAAAAGTTCAAATTATAATCTTGTTAATAGTTACAAGAAAAGAAATTGTAATAATGTTATAATTGGGTAAATATTCTGAAGTACAATTAGAACAATGTTGTATAGAAAGAAATTGAAGTAGGATGTTATAATGAGACAAGGCTAAGGTATATATAATATAAGGTATATAAAATATATTAGGGAAAATGGAATATACATTACAGCCCCACCTAAGTTTAGGTACTAAACCTCTTGAAAATACATTGTTTTAGTATATAAAGATTACGGTTATTGGATTCACGATTAACACTTCAAGATGTAATTCAAGATCGACACAATAGGTTTAGGGTTTAGGTTTAGGGTTTAGGGTTAGGGTTTATGTTTAGGGTTTAGGTTTAGTAATGTTCACTTGGGTGAAGTAATAAACGATAATGAAGGAAAGAAATAGAGATGGTTAAAACGATATGAAAGAAAGAAATGTTATGGAGGATGAACATTGTTTTACTATATAAAGATTACGGTTAATGGATTCACGATTAATACTTCAAGATGTAAATTCATAATCGACACAATAGGGTTTAGGGTTTAGGTTTAGAGTTTAGGTTTAGGGTTTAGTAATGTTCACTTGGGTGAAGTAATAAACGATAATGAAAGAAAGAAATGTTATGGAGGATGATATATTTACCAAGTGAAACCAAACCGGGTATATTTAGCAAGTTAAAACGACATATTTTAGAGGTTTAGTACATAAGCTTAGCTGGGACTGTAATGTATATTTCCTATCCCCAATATATAATATAAGGGGAAGGTATATATAATATAAGCATAAAATGGTCATTCACTCTTATTCCGATGATTTAGAGGTTGTTTTTTTAGGGTGCGTTGGTTGTGGAAAAAAAAATTAAATGTTTTCAGAAAATAGAGTTGAAATTTCAATTTCAGTTTTAAATAATTTTTTTAGAAAACATGAATATTTCATTTTCAGTTTTCAATGAGAATTTATACAATGTGTTTTGGTTAAATCAGTGGAGTTTTCATTTTCCATTTTAAAAAAACTTTAGTAAACTATAAAAGTTATTTTTTTAATTTACATAACTTGCAATTTTTTTGAAAACTGAATTATCCAAAAACATACATACATATATATATATATATATATATATATATATATATATATATATATATATATATATATACAGAGAGAGAGAGCTAGGTTCAAATGTGGATTGACATCTATTGTGTGGTCGTATGAACAATGATATTCTGTGAGAATGACAAAGAAAATAAGTTGTTTGATAATATGAATACTTTCAATCTTACATAACTATTGTCATTAACACGCATTCTCACTAATTAAATCGTCTATAAGATTATTATAGACTTTTTATTATTATTCACATTCTGTCAGAATGTTGTTAGAATGTTTATTGAAAATGAGTTAAAAACGATGTTTGAGAACAAAAATGAATAATAATTAGTGAAAATGCATGAAAATAACGATATTTTTGTAAGATTTAACGTATTCGCATTACTAAACAACTTATTTTCTTAGTAATTCTCATAGAATAGCACTGTCCAGACGTCCGCACAATAATTGTCCATCCACATTATAACCTAGCTCTCTCTCTCTCTATATATATATATATATATATGTATATATATATATATATATATATATATATATATATTCTTTTTCATTTGTAAATCTTCATGGAAACATGTTATAAGACTATGATGATATTTGGTAGCCTTTTAATTTTCAATTAAAAGGCATGCTTTAATTTTTCAGATTCACTGCGTTTGATAACCTCTTACCCAAGGTTGTAGAACTCGCTACTCGGTACCTGCTCGGTCGACTGGGGAGTAGCGAGTACTCGGGAGTACTCGGGGAGTACTCGGATTCGGTAATTCATGTAGAAATATTTTTTGGAAAATTATATATGCCAAAATCATAAGCTAAAATCATAATTTGATTGAAATATATAACCAAAATTAGATACATGTGAATACATAAAAACTGAAATACACACAATTGTCTCACTACGTGAATAATTACTGAAAATTTAAGATATATATGTATTAATAATCACATGTGTGTGTTAAATAATAAATCATTAAGTGCGTTATACATATTAATCTTGAAATTCTTGATTTTTTTTCTTTTTATGACAATTTTGACCCTTTGACCGATTTTGACCAAGTTGGCCGAGTTTGACCGAGTAAGACCGAGTAGGCCCGAGTTTGACTGAATCCGAGTTTTTTGGCCGAGTTCACATTACTCGCCTCGGTGGAGGGCCGATTCCGAGTAATCGGCCGAGTACTCGGCCGAGTTTTGCAACACTGCTCTTACCTTGTGTCTTTTAATTATTCAACAACCTCTTAATTTTTAAGAGAATGAGTTATATATATGTAAAAGAAGAGAAGCGTGTTTCCGAAATACCCTAATTTTTATAGCAAATATTTTTTCGTCATCTCTTTTTGTTTCACACAACCGCCTCTCTTTTCCCATCCACCGACCTCTCCGACATGTTATAAATTCAGATCTTAACAATTCAGAGCCTCTTAAAAGTTCAGATATTATAAACAACTCTAGTCTTGTTTTACTTCCTATAGTTAGGTTCTACGGTATGGACACTCCACACCCCATTGCCAAATCAGTTTTCACATGCCACATGTGACTATGTGCGAGGAGCAGATGTTCATCATCCTCATGTCTTGAAGATGCACCACCCAAGAGAGAACAAGGTGTAGTGGGTTGTAGTTTGCCTCACATAACGTCATGCTACATCCTCTGAACGTTGGGGAGGGGGTCCACATGGTCATGCAGGCCACATCAACAACATGCCTTGTGCATATGGTGTTTACATCGCACCTACCCTTATGGTTTTTGAAAATTTTGTGCTTCTCACTTTGTGGAAATTTGAGTAGAATATAAATAATGAAGCGAGAAAACATATATACATTTTATCATATTAGTTTTTTTATTCCTTTTTTTAAGAAAAAAACAAGAAATACATTATTTGATTGTGGTTATTATTAATTTTTTGTTTTTAATTCGGGATATATACAAAAAAGTACAACTAATTATACATGATATGCAAAAAAACTTTTATATTGTTTTTATGTTAAAAAAAAACCTTTAAATTAAAGTTACCATTCGAAAAAGACCAAAATACGAGTTTTTAAGAGAAATTGACGACTACAAATCTGATGTTGCTTATATTTTTGTTTTTTAGTACAACTTTGATATTAATTATGATAAAAATGATTAGTTAAGGAGGGAAAAATCAATTGTATAATTTCATATGGAGAACACAATCGAACAAAAGTAATCGAAGTAAATGTTGGTGTTGACATATTTCCGCATACAATCAAGAAAATATGATGGATATGTATGTCATTAAATATTTTTAGCCGGTCATTTCTCTTAAAAGTTTTCAATTTGGTTATATTTGAAGCGTAAATAATAATATAAAGTTTTTCTGAACATATAAAAAAGATGACATGGAAATTATTTTGATGAAGTGGTGGTGTGACAACCATCTTCTAAAAAGATGATGTAGTGTAGAGAGTGACATGACATGTGAGGTGATAAAAAAAATATATGAAAAAAAAAAATGAAACACTCTACTTTACGCTTGTGGACATTCCCGGTTATTGTAGATGGAGCATTTGGAGTTGTTACAACTTGCAAAGTTGATTAATATTCTATTAGTTGTTATCCCCAACATATTTAGAAACTAAGATTGATTGATTGATTGTAATCTTTGTCATAAATTTTCACCTAAGGATTTGACTGTTGTAGAGTCATTAACAGGAAAAAAAAATATATCACCAATCCAGAACTCTTAAATAGTAAAACCCCACCACTCTTATATATTCCAGAAGAAGGAAAAAAAGAAAAAAAAAGTATCCTAAAACTATGTATACCCTCATCTCTCAATCTTCACATTTTCACCGGTGCATAGGCGTCGTTTCTTTGAACCGGATCCAACTAAAAAAAAAAGAAACATTTCCAAGTCAAGATTAAAATGGTCAATGGGACAAAAATATTGCAATTTTCTTGGTTATTTTGAAACTAAATGTACATATAAACCAAGAAAACACCAATAAAGAACAAAATGCAATGTGTCAAGATATATACATACCATCTTGTTCTTTTGCATCAGTTTCTTCTTCTTTAGCAAAACGATCAGGGTGCAAATCTCTCATGATGTACTTAAAAATGTATCTTTTTAGCCTGTCAAAAACAAAAATCACACACTCACACATAACAACTACATATGCATTACTAAAAATAAAATTCAAAGGACTTGCATCATAAATCATCAATAATATAAACTGAAATGACTCACATCAACAAGAAAACTCTTGATGAACCGGTGATCACGCCTGGAAAGTTAAAAACTTCAATTCCTGATTGATCCACACTCGAGGGTTGCTGATTTGTGGTTGTAATAGTTAAGGGGTTACCCTGACAATTATATAAAAAAGATAAGAAATAGAGTAAATAACATTGTTGGTCCCTGAGTATAGCTTATTTTTGCAGTTTTGGTCCTGAAATGTTTTCTTTAGCAATTTTGATCTTTATTTCCTTGTTCCAAGTAAAGTAACTATTTTTGGTCCCTGAGTATAGCTGACTTCTCCAATTTTGGTCAAAAAAATATAGTCTTTTTACTTGGAACGGGGACAAAAAAGCTTACAAATAAGGACCAAACTGCAAGGGAAAACTTTTGCGGTAAAAAAAAAAAAACTATGCTCGGCACAAAAATGTAATTTATCTAAGAAATATGAAACTTTAGAAACACAAACTCCATAATACATA